TTTTGGTAAGCTGTCTTTGCATTCTTGTACGAGCAGCTTTAAGTTTTAAGGTATGGAATTTTTTGGTAGATGAGAGAAGAGTCCGGGCTGCTATCAGACGCGCGGCATCTTTTTCATCCCGGAATTGCATTACTATCGGGCAGCACAGGGATTGATTCGACTTCCGGAGTCGTCGAGCTTTGCATATGGTGTCCCGCATGCCACATGCATTCAGGATGGCAGATTTGGCATGCTCAAGTGGGATTCGATCGGATGCATTGAATATTAATACTTGATGCCGGCATTCGATGCGTTGACTAATTTCAGTGGCTATGGTGTCAATAAGAAGTGACGCTTTTTCTAAGTTTGTTTGATTGAATGTTGCGCCAGGATTAAGAAGGCATGCAATTGATTGTATTGTTCGGAGGGAGGACATTTCGTTCTCCATTTGGCGCACACGTGTTTTGAGATTTTCTACGTCATTTAGGACTTCAGAACCTACTGGCAATGGTGAGAGTGTTGCCGGGTTGAGGAGGCAAGGATATGTCAGTTAGAACAACTGAACAATCTAAGTTTGCCTGGGATGCTGTCTTTGCCGACTTCGGGAGGTGAGGGTGTTGGGAGCTGGATCTTCTGGATCTAAACTGCTTCTTTGAACATGCAAGGAGGACAGCTGATGGGGATTCGAGGTCTAGCGACCGCTTTGAGGAGGACGGGACCGGTGACGTGATGGGAAACTTCGGAGCAGTTTGAGGAATGATTTATTTGGTGGAATACAGTTGAGAGTTCTAGGGTAGTAGAAGAACTATGGATTGTATTAAGATAGTCACAGTCAGTCTCAGATACCTATGTGGGCTGGTAGTTCAGATAGGACGGCGGGAGCGTGGAACAGTGGCGGAACGTTGGACGGAACCACTATGCAGATGAGGATTAAGCACCCTCTACAAACAGGGGCTAGCACTAGTTAGGCCTACTGGAGAAATGAAAGCCTGTTCGGCACCGTGAAAAATAGCTATCCACTATAAAAAAACTGGTAACAGACCGATGGATGGGCTAGAATAATGAAAAAAATCTACAACATCTGACCTTGAGGTTTTCGTTTCGCGCCGAGCATTCATCAGGGGCGGGGTATACATAAGATCCCCAACCCTCCTTTACCAGCATACAGGACTAATTCCCATTGTTTTTCGCTTTGCACAACTTGTTACAAAACCTGATGGCAGTGCTCCTGGGGCTGTTGAGCATTTCTCCTACATTCACTGTCTGTCTCAGGTCATGGCACAGTCCAACTCCCGCAATAAATTTCAGATCAACTAGCCCATCATCTCGTAATTTAACTTCCATCAGTCCTGATACGTTTGGGCTCCCCAACCGCACCACCCCTTCTATCAGTGCGTATTATTCTATCTGATGTCCCTTCAAACTCACAGAGCTTTACTCGTCACAGCATATTCCCCCATCTTCTCAAGCTTTGACCTTCGGCAACACCTTGTTCGGACGCCTGTTTGGCTGTCTATCGATCAAGGTGGCCTGTGATCTACATCCACAAAGATCTACTTGATTTACTTGTCCTGTAATTACGGGGCGCGAAGCCAAGTCGTGTTTTCTTGTGAATAACGGGGGATAGATGCCAGGGAGTGAAGTTGATGTTGCGTAGCAAATGGTAACCCGAAGGCATATTTTGGCAGATGCAGGACGCGGAGGGACAGTAAGACAGTGTTCTGTGACGGTAAAATTGTTGTCAAAATCTGGTGCAGTCATTGCTCTGGCCGGAACACGTGCCGCATCAGTCGTTTTGGGACGCAGTGAGCATTGTAGTTTACGTTATCGGTTGCTTCCCACAACTACAATGACCTCTCACCTGCAGATGCCGGCCGCGTTCAGGTTTTTACGGCCCAATCACGCGTCATTGTGCTTGTTCTCCACAAGTAGCGGAATATACCTAATACCACTGCCATTAATTTTTGATGAACAAGCCTGTTCTGAGTGATGTGTAAGAACCAAATGCTTTACGGACTGCCTTTTCTGGAGAGAGCATACGGGCTAAATGAACTGTTTCCCTCGTCGGGGAGGCGCGGTTTTACGACGTCTATTGGAGTTTAATATCTTGGATGACGGCCGCAATGTGATCTGTTTGCAATATACACTTCGAATTTCTGGCAACCTGTAGGTGGTCATTTTCCTTCCGCACAGTTTTTCGTCAAGACGCAGTGGGCCTATCGTTGTAAGATCTGATTGTCATGTTTACAATGTGGGCCATTTTTTCTTTGCATCACTTTCATTACTCTAACATTGTTGATTCCCCCTGTAAATCAACGGTGAACAAGGGTAATTTTCCTTGTTTTTTTGACTACCCATGAGTAACAGGACGTACGCCTGTTTATTATGACATTGTTTCCTTTCCTTGCTGCTCGTTCTCCCCCTGTTTCGTTCCTACTTAAGCTCTACTTATCCCTCGATAACTGATGTCAATATTTTGTTGCCTGTCTGTCATTGCCAGCAAGCCTGTCTCGATTGCACCATTTTTGGGCGCCTATTCCGATGGAAATGCGGGCCAACCCTCCGGACGGTAGCCGAACGCGCCACCAACTACACCAACCTGACGCCTAGAGCGGCTTATTGTTTTGTACTACCCATATACCGCACCTGCCAGATAGCCTTTGCTAAGATTTCTTTTAAACGGACGAATCCGCGCAATTTGACCTGTTATGTGACACGAGCAGCCGCGTCAACGCCGACCGAAAGACAGTCACTCACATCCCGAACGTACTGACTCCTCCACCGTTTCGACCAACCCACACTGTCAGACTGCTCCTATAGAAATCCCTGCTGCGTCAGTGACTATTTCCCGCTCCTGCTGATTGCGTCATTGTTGATTAACCAGTTCCTGTCAGTCCTCAATATATCTCTGCTGCCGCACGTCTGTCTGTTTCTATTGACTACTGGCTGCGAACTGCGTATAATTTAATAGTCGCAATCCTCCTGTGAGATCCATAACCGTCCGGATCTTACAAACGTTAAAATGCATTCATACACAGAAAGCCGCACGAATAAAAGCACTCACACCGCTCGCGATGATGTGCACCACCAAAATCTCCGTGCTTCAGAATAAGCATCAGGTATGCGTTCATACAAAATGGCCCACGAACAACGGACAGAAAACTAACAACAAGAACGTGACTCACGTTCATTAGCAGCCATATCTCACATCCAGGCACGGTGAAAATGATGCGGTTTCAATCCATGGAGGCGAATAGCACCTACAGCATCAAAATGACTCGCGATCTTTTTCACAACCATCTGCCAGGTCAGGGGTTGTTCACTTTCTTTTTCCGCCACTCTAAATCGGGTACAGAGAGCAGCACCTAGCTTGGCTAATAAATGTCCCTAATGATCACATAAGGCAGTGCCCGTTCTCATCGAGCGCATATCAACACTCCTACTATCCTTACACGAATATCGATTTTCGTTTCGGCCAGTTTCAAATTGTGACCGGTTTCAGCTGGCTGCTCTTTCGGGCCGAAGTCCAACCTATTCCCGTGCGTCATCCAGTGGGCCTCCTTGATACTACTTCATATTTTGTATCTTCAATCTAAATAAGGCTACCTTGTTGCCTTGTTCGAACGACAGCAACAAACAACGGTGGCCCTGATGGATTCAAGAATAGCGAGACTATGCTGGACTTAGTTTGTCCTGCTGTTCACTTACGGGTTGTCCATGAACGCATATTCGACGACGTGATGACGCCACCACGACTGTTGTACCCATTGTGAGGGTTGTCCCCTAGTTCACCCAGTCTCTACAGTTTCCTGGCTGAGCATATTATATGCCCTAAAAGACCGTCTGAACTCGCTGAATTTGCCACAGAACCCCAAATTTCTGACCACCCTGTCATACTCTCTGCTCGTGCTTCCTGCAAACCCACTGATCTTCCCCACAGCCCTATCAAGGGCTCACTTACCGATGAAGATAAAACCTTGCCGTTCAACTGGTGCAGAGCGCACTACAATAAAAACCCAGCAACCGTTGTAGCAGCTTAGTCAGGTGGGACGTTTTCTGCAACGATTGGCAACTCCTAAACAGCCCATGAATGGCTGTTCCGCTTGAGTCGCCATGGACGACGACTTATATTTTCTGCACTTCAGAATATAACACGGGAGAAAACACATGAAGAAACCAATTTTTCAACAGAGATCCTACAGTTCTCACGGGGGTCTCGTGCTAGACCATACCAGCAGTTAAAAATATGATTTCTGCGCCCTTGAGTACGTTCAAATATATCCGAGCAACTGCGACTCTGAAGAGATTTCCACATAACGAAGTAATCTCCTCAAATGCCAAATCTTTATGTGAAGTTGTCCTTCTTTCGGACAGTGTTTTCAGACCAATTTTTAATGATTGTTGATTATCGGCCAACATTCATTACTTTAGGGAAATCCCATTCTCCGTCAAATTGTCGTACCATGTTTCAATGTCCAATGTTTCGAAATTCGAGGTGCTGGTTAACCTTGGAAAACCAGTCACTCAAACACTCTGCATCATGGAGCTGCAGAAGAGGTTTGAAGCATGGTCGTCGGCTTGTTCGCTTATCTGAGCAATTTGATTGCGTAGGCATTTATATAGGCATGGGCATAAGCATAGGCATTGACAGCTAGGATGTAGCAACTTAGGAAACATCATAGTTTCCGAGAAATCTCTCCATTCTCCGGAAGTTAGTCGTCTCCAAAGCTGTCGAGGAACCGTATATTTTCGCCTCGTGGTTGCTTGCCACCTGGAGGGCTAGTGTGAACGAGGCTTACCCCTTACCCACGAACCATCATGAAATCTGTGCTTGATTGGTAAATTCCCAGCCAATCACACACAAGGTTTCTTTCGTTGCTGACCAGGTCGTGACCTACTTGAGAATGATCAGGACAGCGCTAGGCAAACTCAAAAGACCTGGGTCGGTTTTTCTAACCCATCGATTTGCTTCGCAAGCGGCAAAGCCCTTCTTTTACCAGGACATTTTCGAAACGACTAAACCCGTTTACAAAGATACGCCCTTTAAAAAACTAACAGGTTTGTTCGGGAAACTCATGACCGTCTAGTTACCGTCCAGGGAATCATGTGTCATCGATTGATGCTGGTGGACATCGTGTTTTACAGGTGGATTTTGAAGCTCTACGACTGCTGTCAGCTCAAGCAATGGTGGACATTGCTCATCTACTCAGACCCTCTCACCTGGAAGTAGGCAAATACGTTCTTAAGAACTTTCGAACTTTTTTTTAAACTTTCAGTCGTTATCCAATATATTGAAAGATAAAGATGCTTCTAACAATGATAAATTTGTTGCTCTCGAGTTGCTGAAGAACGCGAACATTGCTGCAGGGATGGTTCTTCCCGGTTGTCAAGACACGGGCACAGCTATCTGTATGGGGAAGAAGGGCCAGTACGTTTGGACTGACGGAAGAGACGCGGAAGCCATTTCGCGTGGCATATACGACACATATACCTCAACCAACTTAAGATATTCACAAGTAAGTACCCTACATGGCTTGTGATGTGACATATATTGGTCCTCGAGGCCCCGATCAGGACCTGTCCAGTGGCTTTCAGTTTCGTAAGGAACGATCAATTACATGCATCAGGATAACAATGACTGTAATCTTCGTGTGGACTAGTGGGTTGCTTCCTGTGCGCCACCATCCTTTTGAATCGCCACAGCGATTGACGTTCTTCAGACGTTCATCGCTGTCTCACCATGAGCGCCCATCAATCTGCGCTGAAAATTTTTATCCAGTCCTCTGTAGGTTAAAAGCAACGTGTTATTAGCCATCCACGTATTCCGCAGAAGCTTGAAGCATTTGAGGTGTTTAAAAACCTAGTCGAATGTTGAATGGATTGAGACCAGTGTATGCAGAGGTATTTATCCAGGTTTTTATTTCCAGTTCACTATCTCCCGTAACTCTGTACCCAGCTTTTGCAACTTGTTTTTGTCAGTTATCATAATGGGAGGTGTTCGACGTCTCCTGTCAGAACTAAACGCTTCCAAGTCGCCTGCTTCGGATGGCATTCATCTAATTATGTCCAGCAGCTGTGCTTCTGAAGTTACCCCAATCATTTCAAAGCATGGTCTATTCCTTCTGGCTAGTGTTTTTCCGGCTAGAAGAATTCAGTTGTTCTTCCCGTTTTTCCGCAGTTCTTCAAACAACTACTGACTCATCGCGATTACCTTCACTTTGTCTAAAGTTTTATAGCAATATTGACCAAACGTACGAAGACAACGTTCCCCATATTTACTACATGGGTTTAAGCGCCACCGTTCCACGGCTTTTATTTTGGCTTGTGTACCATGTTTGATTTCATGGATTCTTGGTGATATGAGCATGGTTGCCCTTGATATATCAAAGGGGTTTGACTGAGTTCGTCTGATTTCCCATATGCGGGCTGCATATCGGTTCTGAAAAACGAATGAACTCGGAAAATCAGCATTGGAGTTTTCTCACCATTTGTGCTCTCATCTATCCCGTTCTTTTTTATTTGAGCGATCTCTACTCGATCGATTCTTCCATCCATTTCTTTGGAGCCCCTAGTCTCTCTGCACTTTTGTTTGTCCTACTCCCACCACTCTGCTTCGCTCAGACTGCCTCTAGGGCTCTGAACACCGACCTTGCCAGCTTCCTGTACCGGGGCTGGTCGTATGTTCAACTCTTCTAAGTCCCTCCAATAGTCCGTTTCCCCTAATTCTGCTGGCAACTTAAGTCTCCCAATCTGGTGCTCTGTTTCCCACTCTTCGCCATTCAACCTTCTTGGCCTCTTTTTTCACTGACAACTTCTGGTCATTACACATCAAGGTGCTCGTGACGCGGTCATTTGGAAGTTTTTTTCGAGAATGAAATTCTTCGCCTCGCCAAAAATATCTTTGTAAGTCCCAAATTCGTCTCATCCTAGAGTGTGTCAGTTTTGGAGTGCAGCAGTTTTCATTTAGCCGCGGACCCCATTCGGCATAAAATAGTATGCCTTGTTGATGTAGCTTCTCTGACACAAGTACTTTCTCACGGCCACAACGCTTCATTCTTCCGTCCTCTCCATGGAAAAAGTTTCATCGGAGCCTGCACTTTCTGTCGACTAGCCTACATCTTTCACTCGGGTAACGTCTCTGCATATTCAGCGTCTTTGCTTATTACTCCGCATCGTAGAGTTGGTCTTTCTTATTTGTCCTTCTCTCTGTGAGCTCATATAACCTGTAACCATTTAAAAACCGAGGTAACCTCCATCACACTCTATCCTGCGTTTTTTGATTTATAGTTTCTTGTTGTCCTTAATCGTCATTTACAGGCGATATGTGACCGTGGGTTTTCTTCAGTCCACACCTGTGTAGGAAACTTACCAGATAAAACAGGAGCTTTGCAATTCACAATAAGTAAGGCAAATATTTGGTCAGTTTTTAACATGGCATGAAAGCATATTGCGAAGGACTAAGTGGCAACAAAGAGTGATGTTGGTGATACCAAAAATGAAGCCGAACTGTTTCTCCCAACAACTTTGGACTCCTGCTAAAGGCATATCTCCCTCTATGGAACATGTCAGCATAAAAGTGCTGCGGAACAACACAATTGCAGTCGGGACATTGAAACATTCAAAATGCTTCAAAAATCAAGACATCAGTCTATACTTTATTGGCCACCATGTAGAAAGAACTTAGGAGGAAATATTTGGATTGGTCTAGTGCTCCTGGATGTATGCTCACAAAACCTTCAAAGACACTGCCCAATGCTTCTAGGTATTTTAGTCTCACGTTCTTTGCGTCTTATGGAAGGATTTTACCGCCCACATAGGAAGTAGGTACCTGAAACTGATTGAGTAACTCAGCTCAAAATCGACTTACTGGTAGTGGTTAATCGAACCGCTAGTTCGGATTTTCTGTTGTCTCCAAACGCCCAACCTAGCTCGATTTTTGAATCACATTCAAGTAACCGGCACTGTATCAGGGCTGCATCCACAGTCGCGAAGAACATTTTGCGTTGACATTGTCACGTAGATATCCATATTATACTCGACTCGTCTGCTCATAATTGACAGCTTTGCGCTTACTTACTAGTGTTGCATCAGACTTAGCACAACGGGTCTGTTGCACATCCAGAAAGCACTAGTGGTACAAGTAAAAATTAAATTCTACGAGTGCATGTTTTTGCTCCTCATTCATTGCCAACCGAATTCCCTCTCTGTTAGGTTGCTCCAGTTGACATGTTCACAGAGAAGAATACGGGAACCAATCTACCTGCCCAAATTGAATTGTATAGTACCGGTGGGAACGAATACAACTTTCTGTTTATCGCCAAAGGTGGTGGGTCTGCTAACAAAACGTTTTTGTATCAGCAGACCAAGGCACTCTTGAACCCCGAAAAACTATATGCATTTATCAATGAAAAAATCAAGGTGCGTTATCTCCTATTCCATCCATACCAGTTTCTAGACTCTTGGAACTGCAGCTTGTCCCCCGTACCACTTGGCTGTGGTTGTTGGTGGAACTTCAGCCGAAATGACATTGAAAACCGTGAAATTGGCGTCTTGCAAGTATTTGGACAACTTACCCACGTGCGGTTAGTTCTATATACTTCTAAACAATGCGTAAAACAATAGGTGTATTGCTCTTCAAGTTTTCACGTAGATTTTTTTGCTAAAATTAGACAGGGACCCTGCTTCCAAAAAAGCGGTCAGCTGGTTCAGACAACCATTCGTAAGCAGCATGGAGTATACCAGTCTGCAGAATACACTTCAGGAACGAAGTGGACGAGGTTGTCAGTAAAATCACAAAAGTGGTTTTGCATTGAGAAGTGTATTTCATTTTCCCTATTCACTGCGCTACAGAAATGTTTAGCATGATAGGATAGTTTGAAAACAACCTCCAGGTGTCCTTGCTGTGAACACCTCATCCTTACTAGCTGAACACTAAATCTCGTATGTTGGCTGAGGGATTTAATCATTTGTCCACCCCGTTGTTTATTTTGAAGGTTCTAAATTGACACTTGCACTACGTAACTGAGGTACTTAAACATACTACATGTCCATCATATGACTTAATCAGTCGTTCTACCGCAGTTTAAACTCTTGCAGCCTAGCTGAGCTTTTCATTTATGGTCATATCATGGCAAGGCACTCAGCTATGGCCCAAGACAAGAACGTGTCCCAGTACTTCGCCGATAATGAGTAGCATATTCGTTCATCACCCAAAAAATCGTGCGTACTGGGCTGGGATATCTGGCATCATTGGCTAGGGGAGCTGTTGAGCTGAATTTGTTAGATGTGAGTGCCTTTCATAGGCATTATGCTCCCAGGTCTTTCGCGAGCAGTCGTTTACCCAAGCACGTGTCAAACTAGTCAATAGCTGTCGACCATTTTTAACAGCAGATCAAAACGTTCACTTAGAATCAGTGCTCACGGCTTTCACATTCGATCATATAAGAAGATGCCTTTTGTTTCACAAAATCGGTCTGGTATCTAGCTGTGACGGTGGGCACGATTAGAAAGACCTTGGTAACATGGACTGGGATAGTTGATTGAGAACTATGACCGGTATGCGTTCGGCTCTGTAGTTAAGGGACAAGGCCGTGGATCTTCACTAGAATGGCCAAATAAAGTGGCTGGATGAAGTAGCTCCTTCTACACATCACTAGGGCTCTGGGTGTGACGCTCTGTGATGTTGCAACAGTTTTAATCACTTGAGGTGGAGAGGCATCGCCGCCCAAGTTCATTGATAGGCTTGACTGTCACACTTGTGCTGGACAGAAATCGTCCCCCTTCCGTAGTACATTCCCATCGATATCCTTCCAAACTAAACTTTAATATTTCTTCCCGTTCCTGCCATATGTCTCTTGCGACGATTGCTGCGGCAGAACCATCTAGTTGCTTAACATGCCGCATGTGAGGCATGTGTGCATTATTGCTTGTTGTTCATTCCCTCCCACGCCATGTCATGCTTATTAGCTGCTATTACACATAACCTAATGTGCGTTATCTGACCGAGTCACCTAAGCGTTAGTGACTCCAGCGTCCAATCCACCACATGTCACTCCAACAGGACGGGACTCATTTGACTTGGTCATTCCTGGGGAAACATCATGCGTGGATATCAGCCGCTCTTTGTTGAGCTGTAGCATGTAGCTGCGTATACAGCTGCCACGAGGGCTGAGATACTGCCAGGTTGTCCCAGCCTAGACAGAAACAGTCGAGATGCCGGGGTTAGGCCTGGTCTCCGGACTTTCCATTCAGTAATTTCGCACCTTGACCACTGGGCTTTTTCGAGTCCTCCCCAGCTGGCATCAGTTGGATACCGAAGTATCTATGAATTTATAATTGCTGAGGGGTATTTCTTCTTGCTCGTACTTAATTTGTATTTAAGGGTCCTTATTGACCATTTGTGGGTTCTCGTAACTAACTATCCTTGTCTTGGAATAGTAGACGTGCTGCACATTTTGTTGGACAGCACTAGCTTGATGTCTACCGAACCTCTGGCAGCAAAAGGCTGCAAATGAGTAGATGTAACCACAAGTTGGCGTTCTCTGACTGATGTGACATAAATTTGTGGTAGCAGAATGGGCATTCAGTTTTGGGTATCGGTCGGTTTTAGTGACCCACCGGTAAGCGTGTTTTTATTTATCGTTCGGCTTTTGCGTCGAATTCAAACGACTAGTCCTTACTCTGGTGAATCCGACCATCAGTGATGTGGGAACTTAATTGACCCCAGCGGTATTCGTGCTGTAATTTAACATACCAGCATGAGGAAGAATTCTTTTCGGCCTTAGCTGAACTGGCGTATATCCCTCCTCAAGCATAACCCTGCTCTTCCCGACAAGTTTTCACCTGTTATATTCAAGAACCATGGTGAATTCCTTAATCAGTGCCTTATCCCTCATTTGCGTCCATGTGGATAAAGGAGGTCATCCAGACGACTGAACGAGCCGATAGTAGTTTCCACCACCAAAGAGAGCACTTTGTGAATACAGGAATCACAAAAAAGTCAGTTAGATTCTTCTGTAATAGGGCTTCTGACATCGGTGATTATTCGCTGTCTTAGGCTGACACGCGAACTACGTGCCCGCGAGCATCAGGCGATTTTTTCAGCAGGGCAGGGACACATCTTGGTTGATACGCTCTGACAGTATCCCAGCCCACGTAAAAACGAGTCGCACAGTTATAAATAAGTTCATTTCGCGTCGACCATCGCCTGGTGCTGTCATCCGGGTTGTCTTACTTGGTGCTACAACAGGGCGCATAAACCAAAACAGTCCCCTAATGAAACCTACCTTCTATTTCACATATTCATTCTTTCCCTGCGTATACCGCAGATCAATTCTTCGTTTGTAGATCAGGTGATTGTTGATACGATCTTGGCAGTTCGCTTGTAGATGATGTCCTCACGACTGATGCCGAAACGTATGCGAGCAAATTGCCAAGTTTGACCAACTGACAAACGGCCACCTGAGTCACACCCAATCAACGCTTCCGAGCAACCAATATTTCTACATCACCAGATCCATTCGAGCTCACTGCTGTCAGCTATATACCTCAAACACCGATGCTCAGTTCATCTGACAGCTTTTGGCTTCTGCATTCTGAAAAAAGTCGGCCAACAGGCTTCTCTTGTGTGTACGTTTCACTCGCTTTTATTGAAATAAAGATTCAAGACACAAGGACGGTTGTTGAAACAACCTCATCTTTTTCCGCTCGCTTCTGGTTGTGCATCTCTGGGCGGTCGTATAAGACCGAAATAGAGACATTATCATCATCATCGTCGACAGCATGACATCGGTGTTGAACACCGATGCTTCACTGCATGGATGACGGCTAACGCCTACTGCAGGTATGTACCGACAACAGACTTTCTGTGCAGAATTAACTTCCTAAACAACCGAAGCCGCTTGGCCACATGGTGCCCCAGCCTTCGAGCCAAATTCCAATACAGGTAGACCACATTACTGTTAGCCATAGGTGGCATTGGTCGGTTGCTGACTGTCATCTATGTGGATTTGGATCACGCACTGGACGAGCTGTCAGGCTTCAAGTGAAAAAGAGTATCTGCGCGGATTGAAGAGGGTCATGTGTTAAGAAAGCTGAAGAGATGAAGGAGGCGAGAGACTCAATGTGCGTAAACTGTTCCGTTTGATACGCGCCACGAGCTTAACTAAGCCTCATGTGAGACAATTACTGATAACAACAAAGAAGAGCACCTGAATAGTCGGACTGATCACTTTCAAGACCAACTCAACTGGCACCCTGCAGTTACTCAGCCGGATTTCCTGCCGCCAACGCAGCTCTGGGCAGTGAATTTGGAGCCTTCGATGGCTTCTGAAACGAAAAAAAGCGTTTTGTTCGCCAAACGTCACCGAGCTGCTGGTCCTGACGCACTCCCATCCGCTTTGTTCAAAAATGGACGTGAAATCCTCAATCGGTGCTTGTCTAACTTACTTGCCGCAATTTGACCAAAAAATCGCCCCAGTCAATTCGCGCCAGCCCATAGAAGTGCCAGTTTGCTTGAACTGCGGTGTGACCAGACTATTTGCCTTGATTCTACGTCTTCTTACAAAAGCTCGTGAAGATAGGCCCCGCGATCAGCCAGCAAGACTCCGGTCAGGAAGAAGATGTACGAACCACACCTTTACAATCTAATTGCCACAGCCAAGGCACGAGTTTAGGCAGCCTAGAGTTTTATTGTTCCATGTTTTAAAAAGTGCGTTCGATTCTGTCGACTGGTTTCTTGTGTTTGAGCACTGAGTGTTCGCTGGAAGTCCATACACTGTTTCTATTCGCATAGTAATAGGCGCGTGAGAATGCGTAGAAAGCTCGAAAGGTTTTCCTACAGGCGGCGGTGTCCGACGAGGATGTTCTCTCTCTCCATTTCATTTGCTGTCTTTATTGGTCAGCTAGTGGAACTAACACTGGAAAGTCTCAAAAACTTGAGTATTCAGATCTCTCCGAGCCAGAACTTTGTGGACCTGGAGTATGCAGACGACGCCTACATTTCTGAAAAAAGCAGGAAGCTCAAACATTACCCAAAAAAGCCTATCAAGGTCATCCAGCCTTCTGGCATGTGGTTTTCTCCCACAAAGTGCAAAGTCATGCCTTTGAACATGCATGTGAGAATTCAAGGAGTGACACTGAGGTTTGCGGAACGCTATCGCAAAAGTTGCGTTAGCTCTGACGGTAATGTGGCAGATGAGGTGAACGCACGAATCTCGAAAGCCATAATTTCGGGGGATATGGGACATCTTCATGGCTTTGATCACCGATGTCTCAGAACTACACCTGTGGTCGACTGAAACCAACGGATTCGTAGTGGTCATTAGGAGATGGGTTTTCGGTAAAGCAATGCATCCAGTTATGCAAGGTAGGTCGGCTGGGTCATGTGTTAAGCCTGTCTAGACGGATGCGTTCCTCCTTGCCCAGTTCGGAGTGGCGGATATCTAGTCAAGGGAATTTGACATGGTTGAAGAGAATGAAGGGTCTTACGACAGGGTCGATTGCCTTTAGTGCTCTCCGCCTTTCAGGGTAGGATCCACGTGACACCCTTGTTTAGTTTGAAACTGAAAGATATAGTGGTTAACTAATGTCGTTGGCGTTCATGCTGTTAGTTTCTACCTAGCTTGTCCGATGGAGTGCTGCGGATGCAGGCAACTCGCATGTTTTTTCTAGGTTAGCCCTGACTCCCCTTCCTGTCCGATTTCTTCAAATCACTGTAAGGCTTTATTCAAATAAATTGACACTGAAACGTCACTGTTCTCGTTTGGAGTTTTTTCAACGATGATAATAACATGCAAAGGTTCGTAAGGTTGATGTGGTATTTATTCTACTAGTATGGTTAATTTTGTCACTGCACGATGCGGACATTTATTAAATGTAATAATAATAATAAGTGTAGTAATAATAATAACTGTAATAGCTGTAACTCCCTTTCGGTGTCTAGCTGCCATGTCACCCGAAGGAAGCACGAGGGCTGGGATACTGCCAGGTTGTCCAAGTCTCGATAGGGTAAGTCGAGATGCAGAGGTCGCGTTCGAACCACGGTCAGTAAATTCGCGCCCTAATCACTAAGCCATCTCTACAAAAAACGTGCGACCAACCTGTAAACTTGGAATTATTGACGATCTGCTTCGGTACGTAAATAACTTGTATTTTCACTGATGCCTATTTCGCTCTTTCTGGTGCCATAGCCCATCTTACGACACGTCCTATTTGTAAACGAGCACTTTTCATGCGTTTCTGTTATGCGTTCATTGTTTCCTAACAGGTAATGAACATGGACGGGCATTCCGAGATATAGATGCTGAGGCTCGTGTGTTGGAATTGACGCGCAAGCTTGGCATTGGTGCTCAGTTCGGTGGGAAGTACTTCTGTCACGATGTTCGTGTTGTTCGTCTGCCCAGGCACGGTGCCTCGTGTCCTGTTGGTATTGGGGTTTCTTGCTCTGCTGATAGACAGGTACGTTTTATTTTCCTGTTCTTCACGCAGGCAGAATGTGCACGAGTCATGTGTTTTGTCCATGATTTCCTGCATTTCTTTAACGCCTGACTTCACTGGTCATTAGGATGTCAGCAGCCCACATGAACTGTTTGTTTGTGAATCAGAACAAAGCTGCTCTGTCAGCGATGTGTTATAGTTGCTTATACACATTATTGTTTTCCCTTTCCAATAAGTCTGGTAAAATTACTTTTGGGACATCCCGACCCCTCGTTTCGGTCGTTCATTAGGGGATACTTCTCTCTTGGAGCGAGATGGCCCAACTGGTTAGAGCGCGAATTTACTGACCGGATGGTCCGTGGTTCGAACCCGACCTCTGCCACTCGACTTCCCCTGTCTAGGCTTGGGCGACCTGGCAGTATCCCAGCCCTCGTGCTTCCTCCGGGTGGCATGGCCGCTAGGCACGGAAAGGGTGTTACAGCTGAACGATATACTTCTCTTCTGCCTGAGAATATTCACAGATGTTTCCGTGCATTTCAAACGGCTGGTTCTGCCCAATTTTCGTTTGTCTTGATCCATCATGACTCCTAGGTTTGAGGCTTTTTCTGTGCGGACCAATTCTCATGCGCTCTGCATGTGCTCGTCGACTCCTTTCTAGTGTCTCTATTTGGCTACGCAGTTAGTTTGCCGACCAGTTTATCATACCCGGGGCTACTCTTCGAGGTGTTCAGTGCTTTGGAGTCCTAAGCTCGAGCCCATACCACCTCGCAAAAACCTAATTTCGAATTAATCATAGCCTTTTAATTGACCTTCATATTGATAATTCCCATTGAACACCGTACCATCTATTCACCTTATATTATTATCCCAGACTGTTTCCCCTGAATTCATTCCTCCTAACCGTCTAAACACTTACTCATCTTTTTTAGATACTGGGGCGAATAACTGCCGATGGTGTATTTCTGGAACAATTGGAGACGGATCCATCAAAGTACTTGCCTGATCCAGACACTGAGAAACTCTCGGCTGACGTTGTCAAAGTTGACCTGAACCAACCGATGGATAAAGTTTTGGCAGTATTGTCGAAGCATCCAATCCGAACGCGAGTTTCGCTCACCGGTACCTTAGTGGTCGCTCGTGATGCCGCTCATGCCAAAATCAAAGTGAGAAGTAGCTCTTGTAGGCGATTGGTAGACAAACGCTCTCTACTCACGGTCTGTGCGAGGCACTTCTTGACAACGATCATAGTTGCTTGTGACGCGAGATGTTTGCAAATTTTCAAAGAAATTTTTGTTCGGTGATTAGCAGATTATTTTGCCTGCTGATAAAATCCCCTCGCGTCGGAACGCTGTATTTTTGAAAAACCACAGTCCATCAAATTACTGAAGTTGCTAAAGTTGATAGACATAGGTACTGTGTCGTCAAAGAATCGCAGTGTATGCTTTGTCTCCCGATTAACTACTCCCTTTTACCGCCTTGGTTGGTGGATGTTCGGGAACTTTATTTCGATGTTCGAGAGGTAGCTCGCGTTTTTAACGCACCTTTGGAACTGAATATTTTTCTAGCAACTCCGAAGGTCAGCCTTTCATGTGAACTGACCAGCCTGGCTTTCACTTCGCACCTTTCTGAGAGGAATTCAACTATGGAAGAAAGACGAACCCATCGATTTGGTCAAGTTCTTGGTTTGCTGACTTGGCACTCCAGCATTATTTTCCTGTGATGACTTTATTGCTGTTTTAGGTAGACACCAGTGTACTCGCCGAGTTTTTGAAATCAGTGATGACTTTATTGCTGTTTTAGGTAGACTCGCCGAGTTTTTGAAATCGGGGCACGTGGCTCACATGAGGCTTGTTCTGCTATGTTTCCCAGCTATAAAGTTTCAGCTGTAAGTGAAGTAAATCTATATTAAAAGGCCAATCAACACGGATCACTTGATATGGGCAGCATGATTTATAGACGAGTGGTGCAATATTCTGTTTAAGTGTAAGTTGCGGTGTGTGTTAACCACCGCTTGCCGAACTATGTCTTCACTATCAACTGAAAAGTCGCGCGTTGTAAGGTTCATACTGCAAGTGAATTCCTGTAGGGATGAATCAGCCGTACTTTGCTCCTCCAGTTTTCATCACAGAGTGAATGGAACCCCAGTTTTAACTTCTGTATCTTCTCAACAGCCACGAACATAGCGTTTTGCAGCTGCAATCTACATGGGCAGGTTTGCGGCTGATTAACTGGCTAACTGAACGTGAGTCTAACTTCACACGAGCACAAGACAAACAGATGCCCGTTCAGGCAGTGCCTCTTTGACAGTATACAAACGTGAACCATACGGCTTGAGTTACATATTCCTGTCAATGAAGTTCTCGGCTTTTAAATCCGTTCGGTCTCATGGAAATGGTCTTATATCCTATTGGTCGAGTATGACCACCGGATGTTGATGAGCTCGTCCGACTTCTTCGTCCAGTCCGTTTTACCTCTTGTCAAATCTAGCCCTCACGTCTGTTGGCTAGCATATGAGATCTGATCATACACGAGGAAGAAAGAATGGCAGGTTAGCTGCTAAACCACCTAGGTACCCAGATAACAAACTGCGAACGCCAATATCAGAGCCTTACGACGTTAACTGTGAGGCGCTCCGTCTAAGTGATTGTCAGTTATCTCAAAGGTAATGGAGCTCTAGGAGGGCATTTGTTTATTACAGTCTATATAGGTGTTGACCAGTAGAGTTACGTTACTTCTACCACGATAATCGCTATGGTGACGACTAGAACCTGATATTGAACATGATCCCTAGGTGACTATGACGTTGCCTGACAGTTTTTTGTCCATCGAATTTGTTCGTCCTTGTCCAGCTTACATTCACTTAAGTTGTATTTGTATCATGTCTTTTAAAGTTTTTGTTGTCGGATGATTACTTACAGGAGCGTTTGGATGCCGGAGAAGCAATGCCTCAATATATGCGCGATCACCCCGTATATTATGCCGGTCCTGCCAAGACACCCGTTGGTTATGCCAGCGGCTCTTTCGGGCCAACAACTGCTGGCCGGATGGATGCTTATGTGGATCAGTTCCAAAAGGCTGGTGGTAGCAAAATAATGTTGGCGAAGGGCAATCGATCCAAACAAGTGAGTCGGCTCATTTTGATTTGGTTTCTTGAGCTACTTCGTGTGGAGTTTGCTTCGTTTTAATGACACCAGTTCGTGTACGCATAACTGTGATACGCTTTTACTAAATCAAAAATTGTCTGATTTTTCTAGGTGACAGAAGCTTGCAAAAAATATGGAGGTTTCTATCTCGGTTCGATTGGTGGACCAGCTGCCATTTTGGCAAAGAATTGCATCAAAAAGGTGGAGGTTTTGGAATATCCGGAACTTGGTGAGTTCCCATTTTCTTCACTTCTTAAGAACTACCCCTAGCTACATACAACAAATTGCTTAATTTTTAGGCCAGGAATGATTAGCCTGAAGGTCATTCTGGATAGAAATTTAGTTAGTCGATGGCCGGTTGGTGAGTTCGCCAGCGCAGATCCTTCAGTTATATCACCAGTGCCTTATCGATATGTAACCGTCACTTCTTAAAACACTGTATTGACCCAGATTGAACACCCAGGCGGCTGAAATGCGATCAAGTCGCTAGTGTTTGGACAGGTGCAGTCGAAAGTTTGGTTGGGACTGATAATTTTTTGGCGGCCATTCGGCGATACTTGCTGCATCGCTTTTCAGGACCAGTATTATCTTACTTTGACTTTGCTCAGTTCTTGCCATAATACTATCAGGTTGATGGCATGAATATTGTCAGTTTGTCGCAGATGTCATCCACTGTGCAGTAGAGGAGTTTAACAACTAAATCTTAGCCAACATTCAATTGGGATGTGCGATTGTTGATCGTTACAAAGGGACCCATGGGGAACTACCTACACTCGTGATTTGGATTTTAAGGTGAAGACGCGCAGGTCCCTCCTCGTTTCACCTACTGGTACCCAAAGCAATGGCTGGAAAGTGGACATCTGTGGACACTCGATAGACCACAGTAGATTTTTGTAGAGAGGAATGAGTTACTAAGACCAGTCATAGCCAAGGAGTTTCTGGGTTCATGGTTTTCATTAATTGCCATCCCGAAGGGTACTTGTTCAAGAAGGGATTACATCTAGCTGTAACACCCAGCCACCATGCTCGAATAAAAAAAGATCGTTCAGCTATGGCACACTTTCGGTGCCTAGCTGCCATGCCACACGAGGGCTGGGATACTGCCAGGTTGCCCAAGCCTAGACAGGGCAAGTCGAGGGACAGAGGTCGGATTCGAACCACGGACCTTCCGGTCAGTAAGCTACCTCCTTAGCCACTGAGCTTTCTCGGGCTTTCCAAGAGACAAGGAACTGGTCAGTCAGGTTGCAACTCTTGATGTGCGTCTGCGCCACCTCAGCGCAAAGTTGGATCGTACAGAGCAGTTCCTCGTGGGCACCTAAACAACACACGTTGAATTTTCGTCTTCGGTTCCTTTTTCTCTGCATGTCAGTATTTTATCATCGGTGTCTCCGAAGCACTAGTCAGGTCTGGTGGGAACATCGGATTAGTAATGGTGATGTGCACCAGATTGTCTTAGGAAGAAGGAACTCTCCCGTGATAGATGAATTACTCACGCGCTGGTTAAGACATGTACTCCGCATGCCAGAAGACCATCTACCTTAGAGTGCTCTTTTCTCCCAGATCTGTGCTGAGTGGGAATGACTGGCAACGAAGTACGAAAACACTTGCCAGTCAACTTAATCGGGTGGGCAACTACCGCCTCCCTCCCGGGACCTAAATCACCAGTGATTAATGACAGCGGAAATAGCCCAATCGTGCAGTTAGTGGCGCTCGTGCATTAAAACTATCACCTTCAACGCGTAGCTACCTGGTTTCCAGACAAACTGAACATGCCTTCGCCTCCAAGGCTTGGTTGTATGTTCCACTTTCCCGTTTTCCGGTGATCGAAACTGTAGCAGCTGGAACCATTGTGCCTATGGCACACGGCTTATAGCGAATAAACCGAATTGAATTGAATACGAAAAGGCAAAAATGTACATTCATGTGGCTTGCATGTTTTGAGGCCTTCGCATTAGGTCACCTAATGAGCACCCTCTTTTACTCAGTTACTGACTAGCAACAAGCTGTATCGTTTAAAAGAGAAGCCAAATGGAAATAGATGGAGATTAGAATTCTGGTCGTATTTGTCATAACTAAGGGTAGTTCGGGATGACCGCTTATTGTTACTCGTGTCTGTTTGCATGTTTACAGGAATGGAGGCAATATGGCGTATCGAGGTTGTCGACTTTCCAGCATTCATTGTTGTGGACGACAAAGGTAATGATTTCTTCCGAGAATGGCAGGTGGACTAGGAACCGGCCATAACCGCAGTGATCACAAAGAATCCTCGAGTTACTACCTTCTCTAATGTACCCCTCTGTTTTCGTCTATATGACATATTTTCTTGTTCAGTGTTTCTTACGGAAAACATATGAAAAAGCTAAAAGATCGTGATATTTACACATACACCTCATTTCATTCTTGTTTTGGTAAATTTATCTGACCAACTCGCAGGCCGAGTTATCTCACTTGCAGGTAGCTGATACACACTTCTGGACCTGCTGTTGAGTTCGTGTTATGGAAACTGCTAGATCGATGGGGGCAATATATGCCGTCAGAGGCGGATCGGAGGGTAAACGAAAGGAGTAGTTTTATCGGCCCGTGCAGCACTTTGGCCGCCACTCGTATAGAATTCCTAATTTGTATCACAATGGGGTGGCGCATGTCATTCTATCCGGTGAGTTGGTTTGCATCAACTTGGTTCGGCTGTTGACTGCGCGTTTTGATGGTGTTTCTCCTTATTGAGGCGAAACGTTTGCAAGCCCGTCGCCAATCTCGGTGAATGGATCAACTACCACCTGATCAACAGCCAGTTAACGCACCCGAACATCAACATTGTTTGCACACTCACTTCCATATTCTCATGAAATCCTTGCTTAAGCCCCCCCGGCTTTTAAACTTTAGTGTATGCCATCATCATTGACAGAAGAGTGAAGAGTTATTGTTTGCTGGTCCGTTAATCGACATTACAATTGGTTGAATGTAATTCGCATTTTTTCCAGCTCATAAAACGTGCACCAAAGTGCAGTGGTTCCAGCCGCTACGGCTTCATCCACCAGGAATTAGAAGAATAAGGGAATGAGTGCCACACATTGGAGGTGATGGCCTAATCCGCTGATTGCAACTGGATCTCTTTGTCCAGTGTGGCAGAAAATGAGGGCTACGCAGTGAATGCGATAGCCTTGAGGCAAGAGCTCCATTGACTGCGTGACATGGCCATATCTGTAAGGGGCACCAACCATTGTTTCGTCCTGCGGTCCCTATCCATTGACTCAGTTGATTGGTAAAAGCTTTTATCCTTTGTTGCCATATCATGGACTGACTGCCTCTGAGTCATTTCCATTTGATATAGGGCTGGGCGGAGAGCTCTACGAGGCAAAGTAGTATGCAGTATATGGCCTTATCGGCGTGTGACAAGTTGATCTGTTGGGAGAGAGAGACTCCCGAAAACCATATGGTGTACTTCAGTATTACTGATGGTCAAACAGTCTCTGAAGGTCCTCTGCATGCAGGGGTCGCGTCTCTGATTTAGAAAGTAGGACATATTGAGCTGGCGTATTGTACACTTTACCGTTGACAGTCAATTTGATGTCACGTCAGATCCACAACCTTCATTGGTTGGAAAACGCCACCCTGGCCTTCCCAGTTATGGAAGTGATTTTGTCTTTCACTAGTCCGTTAAGGCTTATGTAGCTGCCCAGATAGACGAACTCATCTACTACATCGATCGGTTCATCTTCATGAATGAGTTTTTTGTTTGATCCCAGCCGACACTAGCAGCATAGCGCTGGGTAACAAAATCATTGAGTTTATTAGATGTATATTGCCCTGAATAGTGTTGTAAATAACAGCAGAACGTGCGTGAGCCACTCAGACCCATTAGTTTACATCATTTACTACTATACATTAATTTACTATGGGAATTGGGAATATTTTCAAGCCCCAGGTGGATGTTCGGTTTTGGAAGTGAATTCAGTATATGCCACAAACTGGAAAGGCACAACGTAGCTACTTCAAATTGGCTGGGAGTAATTAGTTCATGGAAATGGGTGGTTCGAGTTCGAATCCATGACCTTCTTAGTAGTAGTTCACTGAGCTGCGTGCTGCTAGTTGGCAACGTGATTAGTTTGCACGTAGACAAGGTAATGCTACACACCACTGGTTGTTCAGTTGGCTGCTGATTTGTTCGCCTCGTATGGTGACGAAACGTTTGCAAGTAAGTTACCAAGCTCGGCGAACAGATCAACAGCCACCTGATCAACAACCAATAAACTCACACGAGCTATCAAATTGCGACAGATTGCTAATGCCACACGTTTCAATGATGCTTATCTTTGTGATCCGGTCAAACGTGGGTCAAACGTGGTCTTACGGGTCGTCACCCGTGAAGCCATTCGTCTCCGAATGCGAGCTGCTATAGCCTGTTCATTTGTAATCTCCGAGTTGAGTATCGGGTTGTCTAAAATCTCTTGGGAGGTCTTGGGTGCTAATCTCTTTAGATACTCGTGGCATACGCAGTGCTGGTGATTCCCAGCACAGACGAAGCACCAACTCCGTACTTTCTGACTTTCAACATCCATCAATGTCCTATTGACCACAAGAATGTTTCCAAATACGTCGACACGTTTGACGTAGGAATAGACCGTCGATACCCTTCCAGATTCTCAAACGTTGACTCCAATCAGAGCTACCTAGTTGTATGACTAAGTTAGGCATTGGAACCGCGAACAAGTGAAGTTAACCTCGGAACCAATGGGATGGTTGTTTCGCGCCTGCGATTGACACCATGGATGAAGTTAACAAAACAAACACTGCAGATTTGTTTTTGTGAAGTGTGTGACCTATTGCAGTTTGTCCCGTCGGAAATCAAAAACTGCGGTTAGGCTTGAACTTAGTTCACGTGTCTTTAGCGAACTCACGTTGATTCGATGTCTACCGGTGTGATTTATCCACCCTATTGATCCATCTCCTACAATGTGCTGAGCCGCGCTACCAACTATTCAGAGTTTACTAAACGTGTTGTAAAGGAATCATTTTCAGTTCATCTCATGAGCACTTTGTTGACAGCTGTATGGTGACTGTACAAACTCGTTTTCAGATAACGTTTCTTTACGCCAACTGAGACACTTTGAAGCCGATAATATTCTCTTGGGTGCGGTTCCAGAGAGCTCTGAGGCTATTCGACATTCACTGTCGTAATTCTGTCACGAGAATTTTTGTGCGAGTAACAATGATGTGAGGTTTGTTTCGCCGTCGATCAATCCCTTTGCTAGTCGCACGTACGCACCGACATGAGTATATCATGTGAGCTTTGAAAAATGAAGCCATAGTGCACCGGTTGAGGAAGTCGGGATAAGGTGATCTCGCAAATGCCGTTTTTTTCCGCACGTTTCGTACTCGTAGATTACAGTCGACTTTCACCCACTCATACCCCATTCCCTTTTTTCATAATCTCGTAATGCATTCGGTTTGGTTAGAGTCTAGGACATGGCGGTAGTAATTTTGTGGGTCATGTGTTTTATATTTGCACCATCCTCTCTTGTAGACAACAGCCTATCCTCGATATACCGTCAGTGACGACAATCGTAGCAGCTAATAACCTGTGGCCTGTATTTCCATTTTAGAGGACAGCAGCGGAAACAACGACGGTTCATATGACATTCTTTGTGACTGAGGAATATTATTTGAGGCGATGGGTGACAATGGAATCAGATGGTCAGGTTGTTATCGACAAGGCTGTTTGAACGATAGTGGGTTGTGTTATATCAGATTCAACTACAGGATGACCAATTACGCTACTCTTACGAGTTGTCCATTTAATTCTGATCCTGAAAGATGAGACCATAGGATGAGGCTCGTCGTACGTAGCACACAATGCGTGTGCTTTTCTGTTTTGTTATACATGTGCGAGCAGCCTGGTAAACGTCCAAGTTACGTGATCGACGCTCGAGTAGTGTTCAGCCGTACGGAATTAACTCATGTTCGCCGTAATGGTCCTGTGCCTTGTTTTCTGATTCTTGAGGTCCCTAATTTCGCGCAAATATCTTATCGATTTCAGTACTCGGACCGGGAAACTCAATATTACCTGCATAGATCGTTTTGCTTGATGAGAACCGACTGACGGATAGTGCTCGGTTGTTTCCTCTGCAATTGAAGTTAAACTTTTATACTGTTCTGGATGAGGCGTAGTTCACCACCCACGTGTACATGTGAGCATCTTTTGTTGAGCACCCTCCTGACGTCACGAGTCGAAGGCTGATAAAGCTTTAGACATGGGTGAATTTTCGGTGTACAAATCACACCTTAAGTACGCCGAATTTAAGCAGTGGTCAGCGTGTGATAATGCAGCGGTCCTCAAATTGTAGGGAGTGGTCTCAAATGCAAAAATACGTTTAGGTAACTGTAATGACGACTGGATCTGGTGAGTGAATAATGTAGCATTGATGTTTTTACATGTTATTCGTGGTAAGTGTTTTCACCACTGTTGGCACTGAAATGGGGCTCGTCTTGTTTGGTACTCATACTTGCCACGTTGACGCAAAGTTAACAGGATTCAGACAACAATCGGTTGCACTTTTTCTGCGTAGTTCCGCTGCATGCTGGTTTCGGGGTTTCCAATGTTTCGTCAAATAGGTTCAAACGGATTTTCGAAGGTAAGCAGGATTCTGGCAGCATACTATGAAAAACTGTGGATCGTCGTCCGCAAAATCCGAGCTTTTTGCCTACATTTAGCCCTCAAACCACTCCTGATTTTTTAGTGCATGACATCCCTAAGCCAGGACCTCATTCCTTCTGTAGCTCATGTAAGACAATGTACAAGTGCAGCCGAATCAGGCGACTGAGGAGACACTATGACTCTGCTTGTCCCAAGTGTGTAATACAGGCAGATAACCTGAACCGGGAAAGACGAAATGATGCGTTCGTTTTGAGTGCATACGGACAGGCTTGACTGGAAAACCGGTTGGAGCTCTCCGTTGACATAAGTGGAGTTGGTTCTTTGTGTAAAGGGATAAGCTCATTCCAAACACAGTAACATGTTGATCGAACGGAGACTAAACTGGTACCAGGTGCTAAGTAAATTTAAGGTGACTATTGTGCTAACTTTCGTGTCGTTTGGGATAAGTTTGTTTGGATAAAAAAACGATGTCATTGTTACCTACCACTTAATCTGGTATCTATTATCCAAGTATCTAACTTTCGAGTGCACAGGCTCGGTTTATCTTGAGCGACTTGTCCATTTCTGTGTCCAGCGGTTCGTATTTAGGAACCAGTGTCCGCCTTACACTTGGAGAATAATAGTATGTGGGCATTCTCTTCCATACGATGAAAAGCCGAACTTATACTTTTGGTCGTGGTTCTGGCCGATTGTAGTAGTTTCTCGAAATCCACCAAAACCAACTTGGTTTTGAGAGTGCAAATGAAAAATAATCAGGTAGTTAGATGAGCTACAATTTTTGAAACTGCATAGTTTAATTAGGATTCACGGTATAGAGCCCTGGAACCTGCTAGTTCGCTTACTTCCTATCTTCACGGGTTATCAAAGACATGTCCCGGGCGTGGTGACCGAAATCGTAGAATGCCTGGCAATTTCTAAAACCCCCTACCCCTCCAATAGTATGCAGTACACTTCCGTATTTCATAGGTCAAGTTTTTGCTTGTTTTCAGACATCCTTGTTCAGGCTGGCGCAGTGAGCTGAGTATTTTACAAATAACCTGATGATCAGTTTGACTACTTCTACGCGAAGACTACACATGTCACTACTCACTACATAATCAAGGAAAGTTTAATCTCTATTCTGTAGTACAGCAGTCGACAGTTAATCCTAATGTATTCATGTGGAGTCACACGTAACATTACATAATTGCATTGTCTCCCCGGCGAACAGAGAACGACACTCGAAAGTAGTCAGGTGTTCGTGCAGTGTGAATTCAGGCCCCGAATTGCACAGCATTAACAAGCTATTCGCCCACATATCCGAAAAGCATCGCACGGTAAGTCCATCCCATTGGCAGCAGAGTGGCAGTGAATCAAGATTGTCAGATCGCATCAATTTGGACAGCATCCGGAGATTCTGAATTGACAGAACTAAAAGGAAAATCGGTCTGGCAAAACTCGTCAACATGATGAAGTTCGCATTCTTTCCAAATTCTGTGCTCTTCTTGGGACTCTTCTTCTGTTTGGAGTGCTTCCTCAAGAGTAACATTGTTGACTGTCCATCTACATCACCCAAAGGTTACTTTCGTCTCAAGAGCAACCACTTCTTCATTTCCCTCATATGGTCATTTGGCGAAAGTTCATCAGACAAAGTATCGTTTGGCAGATTTTAAACTTTGCAGACTGAATCTAGCAAACTAGCATATTTGAAGCAAAAATATGGTAACTTCACTTGTCTTCTTGCGTAATTCCTTTTTTCCTCGGGGACCGCCACAGTTGTTCCTAATAAAGATAAACCAGCGACTTGAAATGCTGGAGCCTGATCTCAATGAACCCACGCTGATTCAGGTTACACAGCTCTGTGAAAAGTTTAGATGAAGTGAATGGAGATTAATCATTTCAATACCGACTATAACCAGCAGCTTCTCATCTCTGAGAACGTGCGTCCTCTTTCGTGAGGGAAACCACTCACAGTGTTGCCGAAAACTCTTCGACAGCCCGGTTTCGCTCATCTTAGGGCTCATCAGTTAGGCTCGGTCTCCGAGTTTACATCAACCTTTCGTTCTAATTGGACCCAAGTTAGACTGATTGCGACAAATACACTCATTTCCATATCAGTTCGGTTTCCAAGAGGAGCCCAAATGAACCTCTCGTGAAAAACAGTTTGATGTGCAACTGAGTGTATTTGTTGAAGACATACGTCCTTGTTTCAAGTTTACACTATAATGGTACCAGCTGAGTTGCTATTTGTAATTCCACCATAAATCTTCCAAATCAGATGTCGACCTGTGCGTCCGCGGCTCTTCCTAATTTAATATACACTCCATACCATCCCTGGTGATTTGGGTGCTCTGGCATCGTTGAACCGACTTACCATCCAGTAGCACTAATTGCGTCCATCTCTCACTCAGAAAATACACAGTGACAACATTGCATGGATGAACACAAGTGCATTAGCTCGTTGTAGGATATAGGATAGGATTGTAGTACAAGGACGAAATCACAACGGGCTTTGGTCAGGGACTATTTTCAGAGGGAGAGCTTGCCCTGTTGCGTGCACAGTAGCTGTTTTTTAACGGAGTTTTCCACGGAATCGGCGACAGGTTGAGTAAGGTGATCATGGTATGATATATGATATATTTGTTGTTGATGAATCACCACATATGCACTGTGCCTCATTGTTTTTTAACGGAGTTTTCCACGGAATCGAGGTAAGGTGATCATTGTATGATATATGATATATGTGTTGTTGATCAATCACCACATATGCACTGTGCCTCAGAATAATAACTAGGAAGTGGTTGCCCTGTGAAAGTTCTATGTTGTAACAGGCTGTATTATAGCAATACGTACCCCCACTTTGACTCCAAAGCACTCGAGCAATGGTCCCATCAAATCCTTCGTGTTTCAGAAGATAACACAGTAACCTGCGGAAAGTTTTGTTTAACTTAAATATGCCTTGTAAGTTATTAAACAACCAATCGCTTTCGGAACGATGTTGACTAGGAACTGTCGTTTTTTAAGTCATACTGAATGACTATGAAACAGGGTAGGAGTTCGCAGGAACGCGTAGAATGCATGTATCATTTTCCACTAACTGAAGAAGATTTGAGCCTGAAACATCTTTCCAGGAGTACGTGTATTTTGACAGTTGTGGCAGTTTCATACGTTCCAGTCCCTTAGACCCTAAGAGTTCACAATGAGCTCAGACAATATTGCGTTGAAAGGACTCTCCTCATTCAGCAGATAAATATCTCAATATCTGTCTATTTGGTGAAGCAGGAAAAAAAGCCGTCTTTGCTTTTCGTCATTTCCTCCAAAGCAACACCGCCAGTTTTCGTCATTGTGTGAAGTCTGGGGGAACAAGCTAACTTTCGGTACACGTGGAGAAATGAATTTTCATCCGCTAGTTGGAACTTACACATCGAAAAGATGAGTAAATTCGAGAGTGTTCCAGAGCTAGTGAAGACTGCACCCATTCCAACTTCAAGTTCTTCCATGATTTTATCATTTTCAGCTCCGAAAATATTAAGACCACCTCCACAAACAAAGAGGAAGTTTAAGAGGAAGGTTACCTGGCAGCTTTCATCTCCTAATGTTTATGATGAAGACAGCTAGAACGGTTTACGTAAAGTGATAACAATGTAAACTCCATCTAATCTTCACCTTCTGAAACTAACTTACAATGGGTTAAACGTGGTGAGAGATTTACCCAAATTCTTGAGGGGAAAACATTGCTTAAATTGTTGTTAACATTAATTTTTGGTGAGATCTTTTTTGCTGATAAAATCTCAAACTTTGGTGTGTGTCGATGGTATCTGTCTATGCACTGCTTTTGCTTGCGTTGGCTATCTGCAAAGATACATTTAGGGACTAGGGCGGGAAACAAAATAAACTCGTTCCCTATCAGGGCGTTTTGAGATCGTCTCAAGTACTTCATCGAGACACTTCACAAAAAACCATAACATCTTAAAACGATAAAAGGCAAAAAGGATAAACATAACATGCGTTGTGCATCATGGTGTACTCCCCTGGTTGCCAATTTTTCAAGGTTTGTTGCAGTTGACCAACCAAGTTTGTGAAAACTCGGTGAAATAATCCGTATGACGAATAGCGCTTGTTTCGGTTGTCTGATGGCTTTAGCAGCCTAACCTGGCCTGTCTGCGGCTCACAGCGTTGGAGTAAATCCCATTGCGCTACTAGTAAAATCTAGTAGTGTGATTTATATGGCGAAACGAACGTTCGGACATCAGCACGGTCCGTTGGAACGGACCATCTCTGTGGTCTGGAACGCGAAAATTCTGTGTGGACTATCATGTCCGGTTGACGAATGGGACACTGTTATCTGAAACAAAATGGCCTTATTTCCTTAAACATCAATCGGCCGGTCCCATTTGAATGCTGGGTTTAAATTATTTTCGTGTGGGCGTTTGAAAATTGTCGAGAGCTGCGATCAAGTGTTTATCCTCACGACTGGACATTTCAACAGGAAAATCTCACCTTCAAAAGGGGACAGTTTTTATGTATAAATTTTCCCTTTTCATTTTATCGAACCCAATCAGAGACAAGGCTTTCAAGGATGTCTGAGGAAACATGACAGTGGCGGCATACTTTGCCCAGCAACTAGTCGCGCTAGATCGGCCGATCTTACCTCTGTTACGCCAATCGGCGACACAGGTGAATATTCGTGAGTTGGACCCGTCCGGCGAAGTAGCAAACTGCTATACGTCACACATTTCCCACGGGGGATCGAAGGTAAACAATATAAAATATGGGATCACGTAACACCTGGTCGATTAGTATTTGTTTTTCCGTTATCACTGCTTAAATTACGTTGCGAATTATGCATTCACTAATCATATTTTGTCGTTATAATTCATAGATTTCACACGCAATATGGTTCTCAATCTGGTCCAGAAGCTATCTGGTCCTAGCCTCAGTTTGCTGATATGATCATATGTTTAAAGCACTGGTTCTATTAACCCACATCATTTCGGCAACGACATTTTTGTTGTTATGATACATGGCTAAGGTAGGATAATTCACTTGAGGCATGAAACGTCTCATCTTCTAATCTTACGTCTGCTCTCTTTTGTTTCAAGCTCTGACCAAAATCATTCAGACATTCCCAGAATGCCTCATAAAATTTACGAAGCTGTAAGAAAAGTGGACAAAAGCGTTTGAGGTTTTGCCGATTCAACTGAAAGATTCTGATTGCTTGAAAATTTAACAAGCTGATCTTAGTGTCCATGATCAGAAGGATGGCTGGTTATCTAGCGACATCTGGTTCCGTCGGTTACGAAGATAAGGAGGGAGACTACACCCTGCTTCAACCGCGTTGCACACACCTCAGCGAGCTGCAAAAAAAGAGCGCAAGCATCATCCATTAGCCTTTGTAGTAGCGCTCACTGTGAGGTCATCACTTAAAGTGAACGAAGTTGATACTCAGTTGCGTCCATTTGGGATCACAGAGAACGGTGGAGAATTCCCTCCTAAGGAAAATTCATCGGTTCTAGTGAGTAATATAGGGTTTAGGTTAGAAGATACCAACTACTGAGCTATTAAGTATTAGCCTGCTTCACTTGACGGTTGTTGCTTCTGTTCTCACCTGTATTGTTAACAAATGGGTCCAGGAAATATTTTAACGCAGCCTCACGTGCTTTACGCTTTTTTTGAGCTGGTAATGGAGTCACACACATATAAAAGAGCAAACTACTATGAGAACAACCGACGAACGTCGTTGCATATCCTACAAGAGGCTCGTCTGTGCTGTATCTGCACTAACCAAGGGTTAAAAACGTTGAATTCTCCTGAGAACCAAGCATATTTCCAGGCCAAAGCGCGCATCTGTGTACATGCCATGCAATGCTTCACCGCCTTTCATTCTCTCAGGCAGAACAAGCACGTTGGTACCACGGCGGGCGACCAAACGATGAGGGAGGGATACATGACAAATGGGTAACCATATGGCTGCAAAACTTCCGCATAAGACTGTACAAGGCTGACCCGCTTAAGCTGCGAATGCGTGATCTGGACTGCTGCGAAGTTTGATCTCAGGGCTGCGACATTTCGTCCTGCCTGCCAATGATTTGCGGATCAGGTGTTCGCCTCGTATCGGTTGTGTTGGTGTGCGGACGAGCGATTCACGTGACGCCAAGACCGTTCTGGATACGTCTGGCGTACGTCAGCATTATTCATGTTAGTTACTACTGCACGTTCCTGTGTTCACGTGTGGCTGTTTATGGGAAGAAATGTAAATACTGCACAGTCCTTGTCTTCGGATGTGTACTTGTTGATCCAAATGAAGACAGTGGACAGGATTTCGCCACAGAGGATA